TGCGGATGTGAGTACTGGCACGCACACACGGTTCCCAGCCCTTTATCTCCTGCGCGGCAGGAGTGCCCGTCCTGGGGATGCCCGTCTCGCCGGCGGCTTGGCACAGGCACCACTTGGTTCCTAAAACTGGGCCTGGGCTGCTGCTGCTCCCCTGGGCCTGGGAGGGGCTCGTAGGGCAGTGCTGGTGAGCTGCCTGTCCCCGGTAAAACTGCACCGTTTGAAGTTGGTATCTAGAGTTGGTTTGCACGAGGAGAGGGCAGGTCAGACAGGCCGTGACTGTGTTCTCCTCCCGCAGTACATAGCTGTGCACATCATACCCGATCAGATGATGTCCTTCGGGGGCTCCACTGACCCCTGTGCGCTCTGCAGTCTGTACAGCATCGGCAAAATAGGAGGGCAGCAGAACAAGACTTACACCAAGATGCTGTGTGATCTGATCTCGAAGCACTTGCATGTATCTGCAGACAGGTAAGGCTGGGACACAGCTTAACCTTATTTATCTGGCTCCCTGGCTTTGAAAAGTTCATTTAAAAATGCATGAAGCTTGGAATAAGTCCTTGTCTGTGGGGAAAACATCATTTGCAGCATTTTCATGTCTGATTGAGAATCTGATACCTACAGCTGTCCCTGGAGAGTCCTGTTCAATAGCTTCCTGCTCTCAGGGTAGGGGAACACACCAGAGCACTGACAAGTTGCACAGTGTCTTTCACATCTGAGGTGTGATGCGTTGTCCTCTGGTGATGGGAGGCTGTAAGCACAAGGGAGGAGCAGTAACAGACTGGAGCTGAAAGACAAAGTAGAGGCCAGCAAGCTGTGAGCAGCTCCTTGACAGGCTGCAGAGCTTCCAGAGAGTGTCTGTGTGCAACTGGGAAGGATGGGAAGAATGTGCTGCAATGAGGGCTGGAAGGGAGAGATGCAGGGCTGGTCCCAAGGGCCTGCTTGGCTCTCTAGGGCTGTCTGCGTGACACGCGTGAGGGACTGCAGCGCTGGAGGCAAAAATGGGTTTGATCTCCGGAAATTCTTAACAGGCTGCTGAGCAAAAGCTGTCTGGTGTCTGGACAGTCACTGACTGCAGAAGAGTTTGTGTTGTTAAAGAAAACATACGATTCCAGAGACTCTGGGGAATATTGACTGTTTGGAGGCTCCACCAGAGAAGTTAGATTTTGGTAAAACTGAAGCTTGAATTTTTTTCAAGCACAGGAATGGAAAGCACTGTCCCTTGTTGGGTTGTCCAGTCTCACTCATTACTTATATAAATGAGGTAATAAAGTCCTTGTTGTGTCCTTCTGTGCCTCTTCTGCAGGGTCTACATCAACTATTTCGACATGAATGCTGCCAACGTGGGCTGGAATGGCTCCACCTTTGCATAGAGCTCTCCTGTCTGTCCCAAGAGGCAGTTCCTGGACCTCCCCTCACCCTGCCCCGTAGCAGACCGCGGCACAAATGGCCCCACGCTGCATTTTGTGCACTCTCACAGATTGATGGCTCCTTGCTAGTGTGTTTAAATATTGCTGCTTCAACATTCCTCTGTTTTCTCTGTGTAGAAAACAAATAAAAGATTTAGAAGTAAGCTGTGTGGTGTAGGCTTTGGCAGTTTGGGGATTGGTTTGGGCAATTGCTAACATGTCTCTTTCGCCCTGATCCTAAAGCAAACAAAAGGAACATTTTGAGTTTGCCCCTGTTTCTCAGACATGGTATTTCACAGTGTGGCAGTGGTGGCTGTGGCTGGTTCCTGACAGTACTCCAGGGTGATGTTTACCTCACTGTCTTCAGCACAGCTTGTTGCTCTGAGGTTTGTTTTTTGTCTGTGTCCACCATTGCCATAGTGGGAGCAGTCCTTGGCCAGCCCTGTGCCTGCTGCCTCAGGGTGGCTTTCCTCTGAGAATGTGCCTGTCCAGTGGGACTAAACAAGCCAGGAAGGAGCGTGTTTGCTCACTGAGGCGAAACGCTGTTATCCACATTGCTTACGGTGGCTGCCTCAGGCAGTAGAGGCTGCCCTTGGTGCTGGGGGAGCTGTGCTGGGGCCTGCAGTGCTGTGGGAAGCCTCAGCCCATCCCACACCGAAGCTGTGCTCGCTGCTATCCTGTCCCACACTGATGCAGTGCTCCGATCCAGCTCATCCCACATTGATCTGTGCTCTGTGCCCGCCCATCCCACACTGACGCTGTGCTCTCTGCCATCTTGTCTCACACTGATGGTGTGGCCTGTCCCGCAGTGACCCTGCTCTGTGCCACCCCGTGCTGCACTGGTGCTGAGTGTTCTGTGCCAGCTCATCCTGCACTGATGCTGCGCTCTGATCCTGCCTGTCCCACACTGGTGCTGTGCTCTCTGCCGGGATGTCTCACACGGATTCTGTTCCATCCCGCCCCGCGGAGCCCCCGGCGCTTTCCC